TCCCTACACAAAGCAAGAGTCTGGGGGACTACTAGGGTTTTCCAAGTACTAGTGAAATTCGAAGGTCTCACTGTAAGCACTCCTCCCTCTTTTCCTATTTAGGCATTTCACGGTTAGCCCTTTATGTCTTCTTCATCTAAATGCATAAATTCACCAGGTTCTCCATCCTTTAAGTATAAAATTTCAGGGGGTGGGGAACCAACAGTTAGCGTAATGGCTATGTCGCTGGACTCCCATGTAGTCGACCGCGGTTCGCGTCCCTGACCCGGTGGCTTAAAACTCACGCTGGGCGCGTGTGCGTGTGTGCCCAAGATCCCGAGAGGAGAATGGAGAAGGGATTGCGGCGTGACCATCCCCCCTGGGGGGGTGATTTCTCGCTTTCTGTCTCTATGTCTCTCTCTGTCTGTCTGGCGAGCGCACGCGCCCTATAGCGAAAAGCTCTCAAAAAAAAAAAAAAAAAAAATTCAGGGGATGAAAAATCTCCTTCATATTTAAACACTTAGGGATCACTATCACATAAAAGCACCAATTATATATAAGTAAATCAAAGCCTATTTATAAACACGTTGAACACAATATAAAAATTATCTAAATAAAATATGAAGACATTTTAAAGCATGTAATTTATACTGCATTGTATGGCTAGCTTTATAAGCGGAAAAGCTATGTAAAATCTAAAACTGAAACACAGAGAAATTTTCCAAGAAACACAAAAAGAATAACTATTAGCACCTACCTTGCTTATCTCCTCTTCATATTCTCGTCTCAATTCCCCAGGCTGACTTAATAGATGAATTGGCTGACAGTCATCAACTGTTTCATATAAAAGAAAAAATTAGAGATGACGGAATTTTATGACTATCTTTGGTCTTCCATTAAAACAATATTAACATGGTTGGGACCAGCAAATGGCATAATGGTTATGTTGCTGGGTGCCGACATAGTCGACCATGGTTCTAGTCCCAGCCTGGTGGCTTAAAACTCACACCGGGCATGTATGCATGCATGTCTGCCCAAGATCCTGAGAGGAGAATGGAGGAGAAGGGATTGTGGTGTGGCCATTC